ATATTCTCGACGATTCTAGGGATTTCGTCTCGACTATAAAAGCGTTGCAGAGATGACACGCAGTCAGCCATTTCGACAAAGTGGCACGACATGAGAACCCTCTCATCGTGGCCGCCGGTAGCTACATTCCCGATCCTGCGGACAGAATGGACAGCAGTCGACGTCGCCCAAAACACGTTATTTCGGATCCTCCCGATCCGCTAGCGGTGCTTTTAGGTACCTCAAGCGCCGGTCATCGTTCTCGTCGAACCCGTCGCTTGCGACGAAGGGCTCGATTAACCAACAGACACAGCCCACTGAGTTTCTCGCCGGATCTTCTCAGTGGGTCGCGTTTCCAATCCAGTGGTAGATTCTACGAAGCGCGGCCCTTGCTAGGGTTCGTGTTAGCAACGTCTTCAGGTTTGAGCCCCATGAGCTCACCTACTAGTTAAGGTTACGCTGAAATAGCCTCTCAAGGCTATCAGCACAGGAAGGAAAAAAAAACATGCAGTCAGTAATCGGAACTACTCGAAGCGAAACAGCGAACGGATCACCTGAAGCGAAGCGGAAGAAGCGAATTAAGAGTTTTATAGTGTTTGTTGAGTGTTGAATACAGTTTTTAGTTGTACTTCGGTGGAATTTTATTTATCCCGAACCCCAGCGCGTAACAGTATTGTAGTCTGACGATAAAGAATTAAACAATACACTGTTTTTGTTGCATTGATTTTTGTCTACCTATCCGCCTGCCACCTGTAGCCTTGAGGGACTATTCTGGTTTTGGAGGGTTTTCTAACATTAGCCTCAGCAACAGCAGTGGTTCGATGAATCTACCACTGAATCGGAATAGCGACCCACTGAGTAGATCCGGCGACAAACTCAGTGGATTACATTGACAGTTAACTTTATTACTATGATCGAAAACGACACAACATTAAATCTGGCAGTACTATTCCTTCTGCAAAAAATAAAAATTCCAAAATTAATACTCACACAAGTAACCAAATTCATCATCACAGTTATGAAGGTGCTGGCCAGAATGAAAAACGGTATCTCGTTAAAATGAAAATGTATGTACAGAATTCCACACGCGAGGCAAACAACGGACTGGATCGGTAATATAACCCGGTGAATCGAATGTCCCAATGATCGTATTTCGTTCAGTTGTTTTTCCGGCCAGGCGCATATTATCTTTAAATTAAAGCGAAGTATCTTCATATATTGAAAGTTTTGAGGTTTTTGGATGTCCCTAAAAAAAGGAATGAATTTTGAAATATATTATTTAAGCTTTTTTTATATAACTTAATAATAATTATATAACTTAATTTTTATTTCACTTTTAAATATTTTGGAAGTTAGCGGAATCGTCATGAATTTATTAAGTTGAAGTTATTTGTTTAGCGAATTTATTAATATTCCTTTGAATACTGTATAAAGTATTATATATTTACAGTAAATAGGTGTACTATTTACTCTGCACTGCCTTTAGTTGACTGGTGCCTGAATACCTTAGGAATTCCGCAAATGTAAATTTTACATGAAGTGTAATAAATAAATAAATAAAATACAAACATTAACAGATAGCTGTATCCCGAAGAAGATTTTCATTGTATCAAACCGAAACCAGAAAAAAATTGTTTTCGTCTTACTCATAATGCATCAAAAAAACGCAGTTATCATAGTGACTTAAACCGTATTTATTGTAAAGTAATATTATTTTAATATTTTAATTCCACGGAAAAACAAAACAGGAATGTCGTTGGGAATTATTTTTGTAATCTTCTATACTAATATATAAATCTACAGTGATTATTACAGATGTTCCGTTATAACTACTGAAGCATGCATCCGATTGACTCGAAACTTAGTATCCATGTAGAAAATACATGTACTTAATGGATAGGCTAATGTGTATATGACTGTTGGACTCCTTACACCAGTTGCGGGGGCGTTAATGATTCATTCCGACAGGAGCCCTCTTCTTCGATATAGCGAAGGCGTTCGACAAAGTCTGGCACAACGGTTTGATATACAAACTGTATAACATGGGAGTGCCAGACAGACTCGTGCTCATCATACGAGACTACTTGTCGAACCGTTCGTTCCGATATCGAGTCGAGGAAACGCGTTCCCGGCCCCGTCACGTCACAGCCGGAGTCCCGCAAGGCTCCGCCCTCTCCCCGTTACTATTCAGTTTGTATATCAATGATATACCCCGGTCTCCGGAGACCCATCTGGCGCTCTTCGCCGATGACACCGCCATCTACTACTCGTGTAGGAAGAAGGCGTTGCTTCATCGACGACTTCAGACCGCAGCTACCACCATGGGACAGTGGTTCCGGAAGTGGCGCATCGACATTAACCCCACGAAAAGCACAGCGGTGCTCTTCAAAAGGGGTCGCCCTCCGAACACCACGCTGAGCATCCCTCTCCCGACTAGGCGCGTCAACACCCCCGCCCCCGCCGTTCGCCCAATCACGATGTTCGACCAGCCCATACCGTGGGCCCCGAAGGTCAAATATTTAGGCGTCACCCTCGACAGTAGGATGACATTCCGCCCCCACATCAAGACGGTACGCGANTTGATTCCTTTTACTATCAAATAAAAACGACAAAATGTTCATAAATAAGATTTATCATTCAAAATTGATTTTTGAACCAATTCTTTGAGGTATCTTATAAAAAGTTATTTTCCAAGAACTTTAAGATGTCCGATATTACTTTGGTCCAATAGGATCTGGATCACCAGAATAAAATTAAAATAAAAAATTGTTTTAGTTCGGCTTGATGGTTTTGTTTTTATGATTTCAAACTATATTTTCATTGTGCAGGATATATTAGAAACCGTTCTCAAATCCGATCATCGTTCTCGTCAAACCCGTCGCTTGCGACGAAGGGCTCGACGAGTAAATTAACCCACAGACACAGCCCACTGACTTTCTCGCCGGATCTTCTCAGTCGGTCGCGTTTCCGATCCGGTGGTAGATTCTGCGAAGCACGGCTCTTGCTAGGGTTCGTGTTAGCAACATCGTCAGGTTTGAGCCCCGTGAGCTCACCTACTAAAGTTAGGGTTACGCTGACATAGCCTCTCAAGGCTATCAGCTTAGGTAGGAAAAAAAAAAAAGTTAATGATGAGAATTTTTGTGGGGATGAGAAATAATAATATTAATTTTAAATGCTCAGCGAAGCAGATGGGTATAGCTAGTACTTAATAAATATAGTAGGTACGTACGGTGAACGACTGTCATCTTTGAAGGATAGTAACATAACTTGAAGCTCTGCGAGGATCGAAGTATTCTATCCTTTCTTATATTTAATGTATTATTACGTGATGAACGATATTTTAGCGCTTTTATAGCCGAAACTGACCTTGGTGAAATTAAATGCGAAGCAAAACAAACACGCCTTTGCTATTAAGGAATAAAAAATTCCTTTATCTATTTTAATAAGAAGGTGCATCAAATGGAATGACAAATGAATTTATAATTTAGTTTAGTTTGCCATTTACTTAACAATAATTTAACTGTGAATAATTTATTACTAGTATATAGTATCTGTAAAAGAGGAGAAGCGACAAGACTAGCCACTAACGTTTTACAATACAGGAAATGAAAATACCATCCTTGAAGCTGGAACCAGAATAAAGTACTAGCCTAAGGTAAACATAAATAATATATTTACTTAACAATATATTAGTAGATGTTATGACAATATTTATTGCATTTTTGAGGAACCTGGAATTACAACGCGAAGGCAGCCTCACAGCGCGTTGCTTCGAGGCCGTTGACCTCATACGCCAGTTAATTTCTAATCGTGTTCCATTACGTGGAATCTAAAGAACAAAGAAAGAAAAAAAATCAACTATGATTTTTAAGAATTATTGTGTCCAGATTCGTCCATTTCATGACATATTTTTAAAAACTTTGTTTTTTTCTTACCTACTCTAGTAACCTCGAGGGGTTATTCTAAATTCGCCGAGCTTGTAGGTAAGCTCACGGGGCTCAAACCTGCCGACGTTGCTAACACGAACCCTAGCAAGAGCCGTGCTTCGCAGAATCTACCACCGGATCGGAAACGCGACCGACTGAGAAGATCCGGCGAGAAAGTCAGTGGGCTGTGTCTGTGGGTTAATTTACTCGTCGAGCCCTTCGTCGCAAGCGACGGGTTTGACGAGAACGATGATCGGATTTGAGAACGGTTTCTAATATATCCTGCACAATGAAAATATAGTTTGAAATCATAAAAACAAAACCATCAAGCCGAACTAAAACAATTTTTTATTTTAATTTTATTCTGGTGATCCAGATCCTATTGGACCAAAGTAATATCGGACATCTTAAAGTTCTTGGAAAATAACTTTTTATAAGATACCTCAAAGAATTGGTTCAAAAATCAATTTTGAATGATAAATCTTATTTATGAACATTTTGTCGTTTTTATTTGATAGTAAAAGGAATCAACTGACGAGAAAAAATGTGATTGCAGACTCTCAGTCATACTTTCGTATTGTCTAAAGAAATGGAATTTTCTAATGTGTAGGTAATTGTATTATTTATATCTAGGCAGGTACATAATATTATTTTATTATGCATTGTTTTTTTAAATGCGCTCACAATAGAAGCTATATATTATTATTATTTATGTATTCTGTGGTCACAACATTAAGTGTATGAAATGACAAGTCTAAGTTTGAATAGGCGAAGGCAAAACAAAACATTAAAGATGTTTAGGAGCAATTGATAAACTTCAATGCTACCAGTACATTTTAAAGAATCAATTTTGTCAAAACCATTCGTGTTTAAGTACCAAAAATTTAATGCATTACTTAAATGAAACTGAAGCTTGAGGTGTCATTGATGACGGTCTCTAGAAATTGAGCGAATAGTAGTCATTATGAAGTAGTTTATAAATTAACTATAATACATATAAATACATATTGTGTAGCAAATTCACAACTGCACTTAATTTGAATTGAAATTTACGACCGCATGAAATAGTTATACCGTATTCGTATGCTGGAAATACACTAGCACGATTTAAAAGTAATGTTTATTTCACTTTTAAGGCACACATCTCGAGCTTACTACGTTCATTTCGCTATTGTTTTGTTGTTGCTTGTTGTTAACTGTAAGAAGTCGAAACGCAAAACATTTCACTATCACGGACGGGCAACGACAGCGTACACTAAAAAGATCTGTGCGGAATTGGACAGTACATTGAGAGGTAAAATGAAAAATGTTCTTTCATATCTATATAATATTATATAAAAATGAATTGCTGTTCGTTAGTCTCGCTAAAACTCGAGAACGGCTGGACCGATTTGGCTAATTTTGGTCTTGAATTATTCGTGGAAGTCTAGAGAAGGTTTAAAACAGAGAGTTGAATATTTAAATCAATGGTTTAAAAGGTGAAAAAATATGAAAATAAACAAACAATTTTGTTTTTCCTTTGATGTGTCCCCCGTCGGACGGATTCCTTTTATTCGTTTTAAGTTTGTTTTATACAAAAGTTAAGGTTTTTTATTTAACGATTGAGGCACTACGAATTCTGCTGGGTCAGCTAGTTATTAAATAAATTAATGTCGAAAAAACTTTTATCACATCCGTATTTTACGTGACCTTTCTTAGTCGTTTCGAACGATACGACTGTGCCGTAGTTCAAGTACTCTGGCAGATTCGTTAGTGATGCAATTTAAGTAAAAGTTACATTCGAAATGCGCGAGTCAAACGATTACGAGTATAATAAGTAGGTTTTTTTTAAGCTATTGCATAGATTTTATCGCGGGCCTTGAGCGCGGCTTGAGAGCGGAATCATGAAATTCCGTAACGAAAAAAACCTGACACCCCTCACTCCGCCTACCATGTAGGTAGCTCGCGTTCAACACATTCACACGTTGCGCTTGTGTAGTGTTTGTGAATAAGCGCGTGGCGTGACGTCACACTGCATGCGCATCATGAAAAGTCTGCTCGTCTCTCTCTCGCGCGGTCTAGCTTATGAATGTGAAGGGGACAGTTAAGGTTTTGCTTTTATTAATGTTTAATATAGCGTGGTCTTGTTTTATTATTGTTTTAATATTAAATTATCATTGTCTAATTATAATTGCATAAGTTGATAAAAAATGCTACGCAATAGCTTTACCGCGGCAGTTCCCGAGTGCCACACGTTTTTTAATTTCTTTCATGACATTTCTTTCTTTCACATTTCTTTCTAGTGACAACGAAGCTTGGCTATATTATTGGACAAAATATTACTTTCCGACTATTCCACAGCTCGTCACAAAACATGTTTTCTACGGCCAGACTCCGGTCCGTGTCGAGCGGACATCGTTCAGTGGTACTTCGACGTGAAACAACACAGATGCTACAGATTCTTTTGGGGCGGTTGCCAAGGAAACGGTAACAAATTCGAAACTGAAAAGGAATGCCGAGACTACTGTTATCTTAATACCACAACTGCAATACGTAAGTTTGGATTTAGACTAAATCACCTAAACCGACAATACATCTCGGTGCTCTGATATTGTTATTCGGTAAGTTGGCTTGTTCCAAAATTTTAGAGAATGATAAGAAAAGAATGATTCTAAAATAGATCGTAGCATGTGTACCGAGAAATGAAGAAAATGATGATCATTAATGGTTTATTTGCAGTTTATCATAAAATGCATGAAATGTGCGTCTTTAAATTTGTAAAACTAGACGTTCTTGCTTTAACTTTGTTGTTTAGTTCTAGTTCGAAAAATCGAAACAGAGAAAAATATAGAGCCTTTAAATACAGAGCCTTTTTGGTGAGGTAAATATTCTAGGGGAGATGAAGGCGCGGAGGCTCAGGTGGCTTAGGCGTGTAGTGCGGATGAGGCAGGATCGGGTTATATGAAGCGGATGTACGCGGGTGTACCGGAGGGCCGTCGTACCATAGGGAAACCCGAGTGTACCTGGTCTAACGTTGTTGAAATGGCGAGCTCCGCGTGCCGGACGAGTGGTGGCGTTTATTGACGAAGGCCAAAACCCACTCCGGGGCTATAGTGCCAGCGCAGAAGTAGTTTTTTCCCTACCTAAGCTGATAGCCTTGAGAGGCTATTTCAGCGTAACCTTAAATAGTAGGTGAGCTCACGGGGCTTAAGCGGGAGTGATGCTAACACTGACCCTAGCAAGAGCAGTGCTGCGCAGAATCTACTGCCGGATCGGAAACGCGACCCACTGAGAAGATCCGGCATGAAACTCAGTGGGCTCCGAAGTAGTAGTAATATGTATTTACATATATGAACTTTCATCTAAAATGCAGACAAATATAACCGTCGAGATTTCTCGAAGTTCTGTGTGCTTAGTGCGAGTTTTTTAACGTTGTCGATAGCGTAAAAGTTAACTCAAACTTGTATGGAGTTGCGACGTTTGCCAACGTTTGCCGCTTGGCGCTGTTCCAACTGCATACAAATTTGAGTTAACTTTTACGCTATCGAGAACGTTAAAAACTCGCACTAAGCACACAGAAGTAAATTTCGTTATATGTTTGACGTTAGGGTAATGTATAGTGAAGTATTTATTTATTCAGCATCCAAAAATACATTACAAACACGATAGAAATACAAAAACAATACGCAACCTTTGTGATATACCTACGGGATATACCCCACAATGCCATTGGCAAACCGTTGAGCGATTATTAAGTAATAAAAAAGAGTAGGTTGCGGTGCACTGTAACAATTACGAGCACATGATAAAAAAACAATAGGTTTTCTCATATCTTCGATTTAAGGGTCGGGGCAATCAATTGCCCGACACTTCGATTATTGGGATATTTTCTGTCATTCTCCTCTTTCGCTTGTTTGTGTTGTCACAAAGTATGTGTGTCTACCACGTTCAGATTACGTAGCTGCTTTCCAATGCCGAAATGCCCAGTGAAGCCCCAAAAAATTGTATGTAACTACAGTATTAATTTAATATAAGCATAAAGTTGGATGAAATACTACGGAAATCCCCTATCTGGTATGGTTTTTGCCTCATTTTTGTAGCTGCGACTTGTGGAATATAATTTTAGATCAATTACTTAGATATAGATATTTGACCATTCTACTCTATTGTCTTGTTCGAGAGGTTATCTAACTATACCTATGTTTGCGAGCTTAGCTAACGCGCTATTAAAGTTTCAACGGGATTTTTTTTTCTGAATACAGTACAAATACCACACTTCTGTTCCTTGAGCTTCGACTATGGAACATGCTTCGGGTATTACCATCGATGGACTTGGGATAAATTTTTTAAGTAAGCTTTTTAAAGTATTTGTCTAATTCTTTTGTATTATTAAAATGTATCCATAAAATTTAGCTATCGATAAGACTTACAATACGCAGACAAAATTATTATACTTTTTGGCTACTACATTGTTTATTTTGTTTGTTTGTTAATAAACTCCATTTTAGATTTAGGTTCAATAAGATATATATATATTCGTAATATTTTTGTAATGAATGCCATTTTCAGATATTCTAAGTAAAGAAATGCACAGATATGTCAATTATGAAATGTATTAAACGACTAAATCCTGTTGTATGATAATGGCGTTGCGTAATAATGTTCCTTCATTCTGAAATGCGGTAGGAGGAATTTATTGATTCATTTTATGATTATACCAAGAAATTGAACAGAATACAACGCGACTTATGCTTTAAAATCGTTTTGCTCTTTTAATTTTTGTAGGCGTTTAGTCGAAATTATACTGTAAATTACTTTTAGATTATTTTGATCTGTAACTTTCCGTCATATATTTTCCGAAGCCTTGCTATTTATAGTCGCCTAAGTAGTCGAACGATTGGAAGGGATTTTCAGGCAATACCTCAACGAAACGTCTTAGATTGAAGGATATACTAAAGAACTAGGTATAGGATAGGTTTTCTCGCTCTCTGGCTGGGTATCCGGGATAAATGTCCACACCGCTCAAACTACGTTGATAACAAATATAACAAGAACTTAAAATTAATATTAATTAAACTTGCAGAACTTGCAAGCGTCGCTTGTATTCCGGTTGCGGTGGAAACCAGAATAATTTCGAGACACGAGCAGAATGCTTCTCCACTTGTCTCAAGCCGCCAAACAATACGCTGCAACAGCGTTATCAACGCTTCACGACTTGTGTCCCGTTCAACATCGACGACTTGATGTAAAAATAGTTTTTGTTAAACTCACTGTTCTCTCCGAAACACCTAAACTCCGACACAAAAGTCATTACCTACAACAAAATAAAAAAATATACTAATTTTATTTAAAACTAAAATAATGAATTACAATATCGTTCGAAAAATAAAATTAAAAAATACAACAAGATTGTTTTTATTTCGTGAATGTTATCATGCGTGTTTTTTTTAATAATTAAAACTAGTTTTATGGCTTTTTCCTTAATGTAATTACTTAGTCTGGCTATAAATACTGTTACAATTAAAAATAAACAAAATATTACATTTGAATTTGGAATCCGTCATTTTTATATGATTGCTCATTGAGTTTTCTCATTTTGGCGCCAATACATTGTACAATATTTTGCGATATTAAAATGGAGTGGGGTGATAAAGAGAACCGAATCGCTGTGATTGCTTTACACAAAGTAGGTATGGAGCCAAATGGAATTTTTAAAACTCTCCATACGCTTGGTATTAGTAAAATGTTTGTGTACCGGGCTATTAATAGGTGCAATGAGACCTCCTCTGCTTGTGACAGAAAAAGATTTGGCCGTCCACGTAGTGTTCGTACATAAAAGGTGGTAAAGGCAGTAAGGGAAAGAGTTCGAAGAAATCCTGTCCGAAAGCAAAAGATTTTATCTCGGGAGATGAAGATAGCACCTAGAACCACGTCGCGTATTTTAAAAGATGACTTAGAACTTGCAGCCTATACCTAAGAGACGTACTGGTCATTTCTTAACTGATAATTTAAAAGAGAATAGGGTGTAAAATCGAAACAACTACTGATGCGGTATTGTTTACGGATGAGAATGTTTTATAACTGAGCAACATTTTAACAAACAAAATGACCGTATTTATGCTCAAAACTCTAAGGAAGCTTCCCAATTAGTCGACAGAGTGCAACGTGGGCACTATCCGACTTCAGTGATGGTTTGGTGGGGTATTAGCTATGAAGGAGTGACTGAGCCATACTTTTGTGAAAAAGGTATCAAAACATCGGCACAAGTGTATCAAGATACCATTCTTGAGAAGGTAGTGAAGCCCCTTAACAACACCATGTTCAATAATCAAGAATGGTTCTTCCAGCAAGACTCGGTGCCAGGTCATAAATCTCGGTCTACGCAGTCTTGGTTGGAAACGAACGTTTCGGACTTCATCAGAGCTGAAGACTGGCCGTCGTCTAGTCCCGATTTTAATTCGCTGGATTATGATTTATGGTCAGTTTTAGAGAATACGGCTTGCTCTAAACGCCATGATAATTTGGAGTCCCTAAAACAATCCGTACGATTGGCAGTAAAAAAAATTCCCATGGAAAGAGTGCGTGCTTCTATTGATAACTGGCCTTAACGTTTAAAGGACTGTATTGCAGCCAATGGAGACCACTTCGAATAAGCTTTTTATACTTTAAATTGTTTTATATTTATGTATTAAACTAACACACTGTAAAAGTAATAAATGTTATTTGCCATAGAATTTTTTTTGTTTTCCTTTGTAACAGGGTTTGTGGCCAGACTAAGTATATTATTTCTTGCTTATCGAATGCAATATAATGAAAAAACAAAACACACATAGATCAAATCCCAGAAGTAGTTTTAATTATGTATGTATTATGATTCTTGAAAGCCGAAGAAAATACTCTAAAGTATATAGGTACTACATAAATGCGTGTTTCATATGTTCAGTTTAATGATTTACAAAGAAGTTAATGTGCGTTAGTAATACCACTAGCATGATGTTAAAATTGTATTTCTTTTAATTTTTATATAGTAGACGTGAATCGCATTGAAAATATCACTGTCACTCACCTTGAGAAATGAGATCCAAGTCTCAATTATTGTATTCTATAATGGCTGTCCTACTCTTCAAACTGGAACACATTCACGACACGATTTAGCAGAATGGTAATTCCCGTGGGGTCTTACAATACGACGAACCATTAGTAAATGCCAGTTTGAGGTATAATAGTTAGCGCTGCTGCCCATTCTCCGAAGTATTCCATGATCGCATTTCCGACACTCACGAGAAGAGATGGCATAGTAGTTATTCGCCTTTGATGAAAAAGTATTCAGGTTTTTTTTTTATCCTACCTTTGCTGATAGCCTTGAGAGGCTATTTCAGCTTCACCCTAACGTGTGTAGGTGAACTCACGGGGCTCAAACCGGAGTTTTGCTAACACTGACCCTAGCAAGAGCAGTGCTTCGCAGAATCTACCACCGGATCGAAAACGCGACCCACTGAGAAGATCCGGCGAGAAACTCAGTGGGCTGTGTCTATGGGTTAATTCGCTCGTCGGGCCCTTCGTCGCAAGCGACGGGTTCGACGAGGATGGTGAATGGTTCAGGAGGATCCGTAATGACGTGGATAATATTACGACGCACGTTTCGTTCGTAAATGCAATCGTAAAAGCTTGACAATCTTTAGCACACGCGATTATGCAATAGAAACTTATATTCAGATTATACTCCGATCTAGGTCTCCTCAGTATCAATGCACATTTCATTAAAGCAATTTACATTTTATTAAAAGGTATACGCGTAACAGAATGACGCCACGACCAGTTATGGAACTGAATTTTTTATTTGAATTACATTAAAATGAAAATATTTTGAATGTATGTATATACTACGCCATTCTTGTTGGTTCAGTGTGGCTATGTAGGTACGTAATATTCAAATATATATATATGTCAATACATGTAAAAATACATCCTAATCAAATTTTGATATTTAAAAAACAAAAATGTCTCATCATTAGGTACAACAGGTCGTTTTGGATCGTCGTTGCCTAAAGGATAAGACGTCCGGTGTATTCGTGTTGAGTGATGCACCGGTGTTCAAATCTCAGGTGGGTACCAATATTTCTAATGAAATACGTACTCAACAAGTGTTCCAGATTGACTTCCACGGTGAAGGAATAACATCGTGTAATAAAAATGAAATCCGCAAAATTATAATTTGCGTAATTAGTGGTGGTAGGACCTCTTGTAAGTCCGCGCGGGTAGGTACCACCACCTTGCCTATTTTTGCCGTGAAGCAGTAATGCGTTTCGGTTTCGAAGGGTGGGGCAGCCGTTGTAACTATACTGAGATCTTAGAACTTATATCTCAAGGTGGGTGGCGCATTTACGTTGTAGATGTCTATGGGCTCCAGTAACCCCTTAACACCAGGTGGGCTGTGAGCTCGTCCACCCATGTATGCAATAAAAAAAAGGTAAAATATGTATGTAAAATTAGGATTAAAGTACCAAGATCAAGTTAAAAGCTATACTAGGATCCACAGTATTTTTTTTTTCAAAATTGCAGTGTTCCTTTATTACGGTGACGTCATTTGGGGCCAAATTAAGTGACAGACTAACGATATTACAGTGTTGATGATACATTCTATACCAATTTCAGCAACTGCGACCTACCTACTTCTATTGACATATAGTTAGTTACTAATGCGTATCTTAAAGGTAAAAAAACAAATAAACGAAAAAAGAATTCGTGTGATACAGAATTTACTGTGCGACTTAGATTATTAAATAATAATTATGTGCGACTATCTGGTAATCGAGTAGAAAAAGAATGCTTTAAAAGAAAATTATTGTCTGTAAAATGAATATGCAAAGAAAAATCTTTATACAAAGACTGTTACGTTAAGTTTAGAATGTATTACCTAAATTCTACATTGATTTCTTATCATGTTTGCATTGTTTTTTTTTATCAAATAAAAAAAGCCATAAAAGTTCTGTATTTTCTAGGAAATAGAACCGTTAAAAATATTTACTATTTCAATTTCATTTTTCATAAAATCATAACAACAGCAACACTTAAAGCAATGTCAACAAATACATTATTTCTTTTCGCTTTGTTCTGTTGCATTTTTATTTATTTCGCCAACGCCGTAAGTTGAACAGTTTTTTTTTATTGCTTAGATGGGTGGATGAGCTCACAGCCCACCTGGTGTTAAGTGGTTAGTGGAGCCCATAGATATCCACAACGTAAATGCGCCACCCACCTTGAGATATAAGTTCTAAGGTCTCAAGTTTAGTTACAACAATTTAATGTATAATGTAATCGATAGTAAAACATTTCAACCAAAAATTTTTGATTAATACAGACGCCGTATCAGGATCTACCGGCGCATCCTAAATCGAAAGATCCTATCCAAGCTACAGTTGTAAAAGGCTTAGACAATTTTCATGCTTTAATGAGAAACATGATCGCAAAACTCAAGTCGGATTTAAGCAATTCGCATTACAATAAGTAGTTTCTGTTACTGGACGTTGGCAAGTCTCCTTAGATTTTATGTTTTAATTAATATTTAGGAAGTCGTTTGATGTTTTTTACAGTGCACAATGTGCGCGACTAACAAGGCCAACGCCGAGGACCCGTCGGATAACTTTATGAAAGTTCATTTACCTAGAAGAAAATTTCTTTATCGAGTGACGGACATGAAATCCCCGTATTAAGTGTTTGTTCACCCAATAACCCTTTAATAACAGTAAACGCGTTGTTGATATTGATTATTAACAAAACATAAACAAAAAACTACACGATATTACAGACGATTTTATTTAAAGGGTATAAATAATACAATCTTAATAATTCAAAATGTAAATTAAATCTGACAGGAAAATGATCATTCGCCGCAAATGAACGCTGACGCCTCTGAAAGTCGATTAGTTCGAATTAAACAAACAACTCTATCGCCTAAAATACAAAAAGTATTAGTACAATTACAAGACAGCAAAATTTTGAAGAGTAAAGATCAGTACAAGTCACTTCTGCGACAGCTGAAAAAGGTCTTTCACGCCACGAAAAAATTGGCGACAGTTTGTTCTAGATGCAGGCAATAAAATCGTTTTGTCAGAAGTATTTCATTTTATTAAACCTTAACATCTTGTTAGAAAGCAAATTAGGTTTTTTTTTATTGCTTAGATGGGTGGACGAGCTCACAGCCCACCTGGTGTTAAGTGGTTACTGGAGCCCATAGACATCTACAACGCAAATGCGCCACCCACCTCGAGATATAAGTTCTAAGGTCTCAAGTATAGTTACAACGGCTGCCCCACCCTTCAAGCCGAAATGCA